GCACAGATTTATGTAATGTCAACTTTACTGAGAATTTTCCACCTCCTGACACGACACCACTCAGTCCACCTCATGCATTTAACCAGGAGGAAACAATACTCATTGCTTTGGCTTCAGTCTCTGTTTTAGCTGTTTTGATAGTTGCCTTATGTTTTGGATGCAGAGTTCTGACAGGAGACCATGAACAAGGTCTTCACAGTATGAACGTGATGGAGGAACCGTCTCTTGATTTAGATAATCTGGAACTGTTGGAGCTGATCGGCCGGGGTCGATATGGAGCAGTATATAAAGGCTCCTTGGATGAGCGTCTAGTTGCTGTAAAAGTGTTTTCCTTTGCAAACCGTCAGAACTTCATCAATGAAAAGAACACTTACAGAGTGCCTTTGATGGAGCATGACAATATTGCTCACTTCATAGTTGGAGTTGAGAGAGTCACTGCCGATGGACGCATGGAATATTTACTGATGGAGTACTACCCCGATGGATCTCTATGCGACTATTTGAGTCTCCGTACAAGTGAGTGGGTAAGCTCATGCCGTCTGGCTCATTCTGTGACTAGGGGACTGGCTTATCTTCACACAGAATTACCACGAGAAGATCATTATAAACCTGCAATTTGCCACCGAAATTTAAATAGCAGAAATGTCTTGGTGAAAAACGATGGAACCTGTGTTATTAGTGACTTTGGGTTGTCCATGAGGCTGACTGGAAATAGACTGGTGCACCCAGGGAAAGAAGATAATGCAGCCATAAGTGAGGTTGGCACAATCAGATATATGGCACCAGAAGTGCTTGAAGGAGCAGTGAACCTGATGGACTGTGAATCAGCTTTGAAACAGGTAGACATGTATGCACTTGGGCTAATCTATTGGGAGATATTTATGAGATGTACAGATCTCTTCCCAGGGGAATCTGTGCCAGAATACCAGATGGCTTTTCAGACAGAAGTTGGAAAGCACCCCACTTTTGAGGATATGCTGGTTCTTGTGTCTAGGGAAAAACAGAGACCCACGTTCCCAGAAGCCTGGAAGGAAAATAGCCTGGCAGTGAGATCTCTCAAGGAGACAATTGAAGACTGTTGGGACCAGGATGCAGAGGCTCGGCTTACTGCACAGCGTGCTGAGGAGAGGATGGCTGAACTTATGAGGATATGGGAAAGAAACAAAGTCCTTGAGCCCAACAGTTAATTCCTAAGGCATTGGAAGCATTGAATAAGGTTCAGCAAAAGCTTTCTGAACAGCAGGTAAAAAGGCTCAATTACACTAAGCCTTGGTCCTTACTCATTTTATCTATTGAATATACTCCTACAGGATGACTATATTTACCTGTTACAGCTAAGAGAGTTTTGGTAGTGTATCCAACATATTCTGCTCAGCTCATAAGTTTCGGAGCTGATGTGTCAGAAATTATTATACTACATACTAAGGTACTATTAATAGCTGAGGATGTCAATTGGGCTTTAGCATTATTAGGATTTGTTGGAGTTATTTCTTTCCATTTACCTGCGAATCCTCTGTTGCAATTTCTAAGTTGAAAGGCAATTATTTTTCTGAGTCGCTCCTCAGCTCAACCATTGCCGTCTCCGGCAGAGCTGGTCTTTACTGGTGGGTTGTCTACAGGGCATGCAGCCTACGTGGTTAATAATCAACCTTATACTTTTAAGACTACAGAGAAATCTGCCCAGAGAGTCGAAATGTACGCAGTTATAGCTGTTTTTGAGAAATTTTCTGTGCAACCTTTTAATTTGTATTCTGATTTCCCATTGGTCAGGTGGAAGGACTTGCTCACTGGAGAGTGGCGCGAGGTCCTGATATTTTACTAACGTCCGGACGAGGATCTGCTTGTGTCTCTCCCCAGAACGCCGGTTCGCCTGTGTGGGTACCTGATCGACTCATCCGTCACCACCATGAGCTACCCGTACATCCAGCCCATGCTTGAAATTACTTGTGAAAATTGTTCACTGTCCAATTGTGTTGGTAAAAACCCCACTTAAGTGTTTTTATTAAAACATCTGGCATATGTGTTTGTACCTGTTAAGCCGCCCGTTCCTTGGTATGCTACTCCTGGAACATTCATTTTGGAACAAGTAACTTCTACTTTAGCTTAGATCTCGAAGGTCTGTGGCTGCCTTTATATTAGGAATTACAGCATTAATTGCCATAATAGGATCTGTAGCAGCTTTCGCAGCTGCTTTAGTACAGGAAGTACATACTGCTGAACATGTGAACGGTTATCCCAAAATGTTAGTTTAGCTTTGTTTACTCAAGAACACATAGATAAGGGTACTATTGATAGATTAAATGCTTTAGAATCTGCGTTGTTATATATAGAAAATCAAATACAGCATATTAAGGTCCAAATGTCTGTTGCTTGTCACGCCCAATTTAAATGAATTTGTGTTACTCCTATGCTCAATTGGCATCTAAATTCACAGATACTCTTACTCAATTTATTTCTTCTAATTCTCTTTGGAATTTAATTTACAATTTTATAGCAATTGGACTAATCATTTTGTTTTTGGTGTTTATCCTACCAGTCATTATCCAGAAACTAAGAAAAGCTGTTCAACAGAACTCTGACACTATCCACCTTGCCATTCTAAAAAACAAAAAAGGGGGAGATGCCAGGAGCTGCAACCACTAGTAAAAGTAAGGTAAAAGGGACCTGAAAACAGGAAAAATGCCAGCTGGGAGCAAGGCCCCAGTAAAATGTGACCATGACAGAGGCAAAGCCCCATGGATCCTGTTGACGGACCTTCCCTAACTTTGAAGGATTGCGTGCCTAGGCTTGAGAATGTTCCCTCTTTAATTGAGATAATAGATGCGCAAATGGATGATGGCATTTTGACAGCAAAAATTATACATAGGCATAATGGAAGATTGCAGCAAAAAATGTGCCCCTTAGAATGTGCAAGGATGTGGAATTAGCAGTAAACCCATGTATAGAAATGTAAAACAGACTTAACAGCAAAAATTTCCCCCTGAAGGGACAAGGGAATGCAAATTTTGAAACCTTTAGCTAAAAAGGAAAAACAAGTACCTCCTCATACCCTTTATAAGTAACAACATTGACAGTTGTGATTGATGAGGAAGTGAGAAACTGAGACAGAGTATCTCCAAAACCAGGTGTTTTCGGGAAAAACAAGTCACAGACATGCCTTTTGATTTAAGAAATATTATAGTTTAATTAGAAAGAGGGTTAAAATTAAAGTGGTAAGTGGCAGTGGTCCACCCAGGCTCAGCGGTGGGACTGCCATGAACACGTGAGGCTACACATCTGTTTCTGTTTCTGGGTATTCCCCTCATTCCTCCATACCTGAGGCTTACCCATCTAGAAGGAAGGGTGCTGGCGAGGACACAGCACTGGGATCCCAGCCTGGCATCCCACGCCCTCAGAAATGGGCCATCCCTGGTGGCATTTGCACCCGGGTCAGGGTCCTGGCCCCGGGGATCCTCCTGCACACCTGGGCCAGGTCCCAGAAGCACCTGCCCACCCGGGGGGTGACTCACCTTGGCAGTTCTTGTCGTCCCAGGCCAGGGTGAAGCCGGCAGGGCAGGAGCAGGAGAAGTGGCCTAGCGCGTTGAGGCAGGAGTGGGAGCAGGGACTGGGGCCAACCAAGCACTCGTCCTTGTCTGGGACAGAAAGGGAGCTGGTGGCCTCCCCTCCCATGCACTCCTGCCCGCTGCCCCTGGGAAAAGGCCTCCCGTGTTCGTGTGGGGCACAGGGGGTGCTCACCCATGCAAAATGCTCCCTAGGAGTCCAGCTCAAAGCCCTCAGGGCAGCCGACTTCATTCTCTTCTGCAAGAGTCAAAGAGGACAGGCGCTAAGGCAATGAGCCCCTTCCCAGGCCGCATTCTCGGCCTGTCCCGAGCCAAGTCAGTGCCAGGGAATCAACAAGCTCTTTTTGCACCCCAGCCTGGCAGAGGCGGTGGCTGTGGGAAGTGTCTGAGACCTGGGGGGCTCCTGGTGGGGTGGGGCAATCCAGGAGACACCATTCAGGTGAAGTACAGGGGGCCAACCTTGCAGGATTGGGCTCCTGAGACCCCAGCGCTTGCGTAGAGGGTGGGCAGAGGGGCAGAGGGACAGGCAGCAAGGACAAAGGTGGAGCGGGGCGTGCTGAGTTCTGGAAGAGAAGGGTACCTGCCATCCTCGATCAAGTGGTCACCAGATGCCCGGCTAGGGTTTCAGGGACAGCATTTCTATAGCTACACTTTGCAAGGCAGGCGATGTCACACCCGCCATGTGGATGGGAACACCGAGGCTCAGAGAGGCCAGGGCATTGCCCTCAGAGTCCCATAGCCACAAAGTGGTGCAGGTGGGATTTGAACCAGTCTGCCTGGCCTCAAAGCTGTGCTCTTGTTCAGTGTTTAAAACATTTGGGGCTCGGGTGTGGCAGCTCATGCCTGTCATCACTGCCTGTGGGAGGCTGAGGTGGGAGGATCGCTTGAGCTCAGAAGTTCAAGACTAGCCTGGGCAGCAGAGTGAGAACCTTGTCTCTACAAAAAAACAGAAAAATGCGCTGGATGTGGTGGTGTGCAGGTCGGTCGAGCCATGATTGCACCACTGCACTCCAGCCTGGGTGACGAAGTGAGACCCGGACAGAAAAAATGGGGACCTCAAATATTGCTAAAATGTGTGTCTTGGCATATTTAGCATCCACTGGGGGAGAAGATAAGGCATGTGGTAGCTCCACAGGCTCTGACTGTGACTCCCGATTCCTGGGTGGGGCCTTGGGAGAAGGGGGTGGGGTATGGCTCAACTCTCAAATGGTAGGCTGGGATGGCTGGGCTTTGACCTGGGCCTGGGGAAGGCTTGAGGTCTGCCTGGGAGTGTCCTGGAGAGCTGTGTCCCTGGGGAGGTATGGTGGTCAGGACAGGCCGGAGGTGAGTGAACCGGGTGAGCCAACTTTGGTCATGGAGGTTGGGGTGGGTGGCTTCCAGCCAGGCTTGTGGGCCTCAGGGGCTTCAGCTGGAACAGCAGAGTGGGGACAAGGCCAGGCCTCAACAGCTTGCAGGGCCGTGGAAGCGCAGGGCCTCAGCCTCGGGGTGAAAGGCCATGCTAATAGCCCAGGCCTGCAGGTTCTGCACCAGCTGGGGCTGGGGGCCCCGTGCCACGTCGTACTCGATGCTGTGGTTGCAGCATAGGGACCTGGGGATGCCACCCTGGAGGAAGCGCTGTGTGGAACCCACAAACAGCTGACCAGGCCCTGTCTGCACAGAGTGCTCCTGGAAGTCCTGCGGGGGGGGGGGGAAGAGGAGGGGGGGGAAGAGAAAGGAGGATGAGAAGGGGGAGGAAGAGGGGGAGAAGGAGGAGAGGAAGGGAGAGGAGGAGGGAGGAAAGTGCTTAGGATTTCCGCTCCCAGTTAGCCTAAGACCCTCGCCTGGCTTGGGGGCTGGGGAGGCCACAGGAGGAGACTGAATGGGCGTTGGCTCTTCCTGGGGCCAGCTGGCAGCCATGGGCAGTTTCCCTTCATGCTCTTGCTTACAGATAGATGAGGGAGGACTGTCCCAGGAAGCGGGGCTCAGCGCGTCCTCCCGGGCCCCAGTGGAGCCTGTGACAGCCCACCAGTGCCACCCAGCCCTGCTGGGGTCAGAGGGAAAGTGGACCTGGCTACCTGGGGTCCTCCTCGCCCGGCCCGCTGGCACCCCCCAGGCTGGTCCACCTGCACGTGGAGGCCCGCCTCCGCCAGGCTCTCGGGGACGATGCCATTGACCACCGTGCTGAGGACCAGGAGGCTGTCAGGGCCCAGGGCCCGCACCATCTGGGTCATCTCCAGCAGCTCTCCTGTGACCCGGCCCCACACAGTTAAGTCTCCACGAATTCCGGCACCAGTAATGACTCCACACCCGGCCAGGACCAAGAGATTTATTAAAGGGGGCTGTTACAGAGAGGATCTGTAACAGAGGGGAAAAATGAAAGAAAGAAAGAGTTGCAGGGAGAGGGCTGTATTTATTAGCCTGACAGGGGCCGGAAGGAGTCGTGCTATATTTCTATTGGAGGAGCTGCATGGGAGCAGGGTGGGGCCGATGCCGTGTTATAGTCCTGTTGGACGCATAAGAAAGCTGGCTACATTCTGGGAAAGGATTGGAGGCTTGCAGGTTTGAACTTCACGCACGTGGGGCATTGTGCACACAAGCCAGGACCTAGGGCCTTTGTTGTCTGGTGTGTCCTCACCATGCTCGGTGCCATTTTGGGAGCCACCCCTCTGGTCACTTCCAGCAACCTTCATTCCTACCTTTTCTGTTCTTATGGGGAGGGGCGTCGTTATTCTTTCTGGCTACTTCCTGCTGGTCAGGGGCGTTGTGGGGGTAAAGTGGTAGAAGGGTGCAGAACCAGCCAGAGCAGGGCCCAAAGGTAGGCGCTGAAGGTGTAGATTTCCGTAGGTGAGAGTTCCATGAAAGTTGCTTGTAAGTGCAGAACAGCGACCTGTTCTGGCCAGTCTTCTAATGAGCACGGGAATGGTGGTAACCAGCTATCCTGGAGCAGACTGTGGAGGTAGACAGAAAACCTGGAAGAGAGCATATCTAGAAGAAAAAATTAGATGAAAGTTTAGTTGTTATAGCTCTGGATTTTTTACAGGAGCAGGTTGGTAGCTATTGAGCAACAGGAGGTTAAGTCTTCGATTTGAAAAGTTTGAGACAGTAGTCTTCATGTAGGTAAGGAGATATTTGATGATGCATGGTCTTAGGGTTACAACCAATAGGAGGAGGATTATTGGGCCAGCTATTGCCGAGACTAGGGCGGTGAGCCCGGGGGACCATGAGAAGAAGGTTTGATACCAGTTGCCATAGGCCTGGTTTTGTGATTCCCGGTGTAGTATATTGTCCCTTATTTGAGCTAGGGTTTCTCTTATTACCCTTGATTTGTTGGCATAAAAGCAGCAGGCTTCTCCTAGGGTTATGCACAACCCTCCTTGTTTTAGGAAAAGGAGGTCTAGGCCTCGTCTATTCTATAAACTACCTCAGCGAGAGAGTCAAGCTGTTGTTCTAATTGAGACACACTCGATTCTAGTAGGCGTAAATCAGTATCAATTTGAGTGCTAAGCTGTTTAAGATTTTGGTCACCCAGAATTAAGGAGGCTGTGCCTATGGTTGTAGCTCTGGCAATGCCTAGTCCCATTAGTAAAGGGACTAACAGTTACCGTTTTGAGCAGGTGGTGTTAAAGAGTTTGAGGTGTCGTCTATCTTCCGTTCCTTTATAAATGTAGACCTGGGGTAGGATGTGGACCAAGATGCACAATTCTGTTGTGTCTTTGAGATGCTGTAAGCTGATACAGGGGGTGATCCCTTGGGTACAGGCAAACCACGTGGTGGGGGGTGCCACTGCGAAATGGGGGATGGTTTGATTATGGAAGGTAGCGATGTTAATATGAGAGGTGTTGTTGCAGGACAATCGGAGGGGGGATGTAGTTATGGGAAAGGTTGGGGAGAAGAGACATGTTCCTTGTCCCTGGAGGTCATCCAGCATCAGTGTGGGATGAGTGCCCCAGGGACATAATTGCTTATTTTGTATATCGGTAAGAGTAA